GGCCCGCAGAGCCTGCCAGGTTGCTGCTTGCTGGCTGGCTGGCAGGCCGGTGGCCGGTGCCCTCCCTCCAGTGCTGCCGGCGCAGGCATGTGCTTAGCTCGGAGCGCTGTTGCCAGGGCGCGTAGTGGCGGGAACAGGACACTCTGTCCCCGGGGCAGAGCGGAGACCCTTCCTGCCGCCTCCCTGAGAGGCTGGCACCCTCAAAGCGGAGGCGGTGCTGCGTGTGTGGCCGGCCCGCGGGCGCTCCCAGGTGCGGCTGTTTCCACGCGGGTCGAACTCGGCTTTTTGCGGGTGTGCCGGATGCCTCCCTCACTTCCTGCTTGCAGCCCTCCTGCGTTTCTGCCTCGCTTCCACAGCAGGGCCATGCAGGGCGCTTGGGCCAGTGGTGCTTGGAGCACTCCGGCGAGGCCCACGGCAGTGAGGCGTGGGAGGCAGGACAGTGGGCACCTGGCTGGGCACTCACGCTGCCCCCCCCAGGCTGAGGGAAGGCGAGGTGGGCAGTCTGGGGGCAGTGGCGGCTGCTGGGCGGAGGCAGCTGGGGCGCCCACAGGGTGCCCGGTTGGGCAGCGTTCTGCGTGGGAGGCTGCTGTTCCAGCAGCTGGTGCAGGTTCGGGACAGGGACTGGCAGCCCTTTGCCCAGAGAGCAGGCCAGCGCTGGGGGGGGGGGGCTGGGGCAGGGAGAGCCTTCAGCCCCCCAGCAGGGAGGCTGCCCAGACACCGCCACTCTGCCTTCGGGGCCTGGGCTGACCCGACCCGCAGAGCCCACTTCTGGGCAGAGGTGCTCCTCCCAGTGGCAGCAGCGGGGCCCCGAGGCAGACGCGCGGCCCCGGGGAAGGGCGGTGGGCGCCTGTGGCTGCGAGGGCAGACTCCCCTGGGGCCTCGCCGAGCCGCCTTCCTCTCTCTTCAGCCGCAGCCAGAGGCGAGAAGCAGGCAGTGCGGGGCAGAACCCGACAGCCCCGACGGCAGTTCCTTGGCGGACATGGGCCTTGCGGCCCCGGGAAGCCAGCGGCGCCACCCAGTGCCTGCCTGTTTCCCCTGTGGAGGAAGGAGTGTCCTGATGCCGGATTTGCAGAGGGGCTCGGCTGTGGCTCAGCTTTACAGCCCCGTGGGGTGGGCTGCCGGGGGTGGCTGCCACTTTGGGCGTCCTTCTGTCTTCCTCGGACGCTCAGCCCACACGAGCCTCGGGCGCCCGCTGGAGAGTCTGGCTACTCCTTTGGCTGCCGTGGAAGTGGCCCGGACTCATCTCCTGGGCGAATGGGCGTGTTGCATGCGCTAAACTGAGCGCTGGGGGAGTGAGGATGTGGGTGGGGGCCCGGGGGCACAGGCGTCGCGAGGCTGGTTCCCAGAGCCGGCCAGCAGTGTTTGCGTGGCTGGACTTCCTGGCATGGTTGCTGGTTGTGTGAACTGGGGAGGCACAGTTTGGGGGGCGGAGTATTGCCGGAGCTTGCCCACTCCCCCCAAGCCGTGCTGCTTCGGCCCATGTGCCACGGCGAGCTGCGGGAGGCTGGCACCCGCACGACACGCAGCCCTTGCCGCTGAATTGAGGCAGGGCAGCCGCTGGGTTGTGTGAATGCCTGACTGACGGCCCAGTTGGAGGAGTGAAGACTTCTCACTCAGCCAGGTGGGCTCTGCTTCGGGGAGAGAGGCTCCCCCCCACAGCATGCCCCTTGGCTCACTGGCTCGAGTCACCCAGACTTCTCTTTCCGGATTGCACAGGCTTCCTGCTTGTTGGGGCTGCCGCTTTGCAGCGGGTAGAGGAGGGGGCAAGCGGGCTTGGCAGGGAGGGGGGCTAGATGGCCCAGGCGGCTCCACTCTCTGCCCACTCACCCCCCGCGCCGCCCGCCTTGATCTTGGCCGTCTTTCACACACACACCAGCCTGTCTGGTACCAAAATAACTGTGAAAACACAGAAATATGCTTTCTGCGCCGGGGCCCCGGCAGGGATGGGGAGGGCTCTTCCCTCGCACGAGGGGGCTGGGGGAGGTGGCCCGGTGGCCGCCGTGCTTGCCGGACCCGGAGGCGCCCTGCCCTCCCCAGCAGCCCCCACCGTGGCCGCCTCCGGCTTCGGTGGGGGAGCCGCGCTGCCCCCGCCATCCATCCGTTCAGGCAAAGGGTTAAGGGGGGGGCGGCCGCCCAGGCTGGCTCCTTTTGGAGCTCCAAGAGCAGGGCAGGCTGGGTAATATTTCCGCCCCAGTAATTCTGCTGCCTTGCTCCCGAGCCTCCCTCCTCGCCGCCTGCCGCCCATCCTGCCGGCCGCCCCGCTCTGCGGCTGCGGACCGGTGGTGCTCCCCCAGCCCGGCGGGGCCCCCGACCCGGGTCGCGCCAGGCCCGGGGCCCCGCGCGCCGGGGGCCCTTCCCCATGCCCGCTGGATGCCCCCCGGGCACGCGGCTGCGGCCGAGCGCCGAGCGCGCGGAGCCCCCGCCGGCGCCTTCGCCGTGAGGATGCTGGCCTCCCTGCTGCAGCTGCTCCGGGACTTCCCGGCCGCCCCTCCAGCCGCCCCCCAGCCCCGCGCGCCCCCCATGCACGTGCCCGGCCCCTCCCTGTGCGGCGCCTGCCTGTGCCTGGACAGCGACGCCCCCGCCGGCGCCCGGGGCCGGCCGGGCCAGGACGACCAGGTACCTGCCTGCTTCTCCCGAGGCTGGCGCGGCGCGGCGCGGCGGGGCCCTCGCCAGCAGCTGCCCCGGGCGGGCGGGCGGGGTGGGGCAGGGGAGGGGCCGCCCGTTCCGCCTGCCCCGGTGCCCGCGCTGCCCTGCCCCGCTCCGCTCCGCTCCGCCCCGGCGCCGGAATAGCGGCGCCGGGGCCGACGCCTCGGGAGCTGCCGGGATGCGCGACCGGCGGCAAGGGGCGTGAGGCAGCTGGGGCTCTTCCTCCACCCGGAGGGGACCGGGGCCTGCCGCTGGCCGTCCTGGGGAGGGGAGCTCGGCCAGGCCCCGGCCGCCGGGGGGGGCTCGGGGGGGGGGGGGAGGGAGCAGCCCTCCAGCCGCCCATGCTTCCTGCGCACTGTGGGACGCATCCCTTGGGTGCGAGGCAGCCAGGATCGGCCCCTTTGCCCCCGGGGTGCGGGGGGGGCACGGTGGCCTGCCACAGAGTTCCTGAGCGGGGCATGGTTGGCAGCTCGCCACGAGCTCGGGCAAGGCGCTCCGAATGTGCTCTGGGGCTGCTCACCGGTATTCGAGGGCTGGGGCAGGCTCTGGTGCTGAGCTCTGAGTTTGAGACGGGGCGTGAATCTCGGGCCGAGACAGCCGCTTTCCCACGGGAAGGGCAGCAACCCGTTGCTGAGTGGCAGCCCCCAGATTCCCGGCATCCCCCTGGTCAGTAGGTCGGCCCCGGGCACAGGGCTGGCGGGGGGAGCAGCAGCTGGGGAGGCTGGTCGGGCGGGAGCTGTGGGCGGGGGGGGGGGGTGGCTGAACTTCTCCCCATAGAGCTCTGGGGTGTGTGGGGTGTGCCTGGAGAATGTGGGGTGTGTGTGCCTCTGCACATGCTCAGGAGACTCGTTCCAGCTAGAGCATCTGTGCTCCAGCTGGTTGCATGTTCGGCTGGGGGCTTGCTGCCCCTTTTTTGGGGGGTTGACTTTGCTTGGCTCTGGGGCCACCCTGGGGCATGTGGCAGGGGTGGGGGCAGCAAAGCGGCGGGGGTGCTCCCAGGCTGGCGGGGAGGCTGCAGGCGGGCCGGCGAGGCCGCCGGGGCGCAAAGCGAGGCAGCGCTGCAGCCGGCTGGGCACCTTCCAGGACAGGGGCGGTCGGTGCATCGGCTGAGGGCCCCCACCCCGTCCTGCCGCCCTGGCCTCTGCGGGGTGAGTTTGCCCGTGGTACCTGTGCGGCAGCAGGGCCGGTGCGACGGGGTGCCGGATCGCGGCCTCGAGGCCACAGCGGAGCCCCTCTGGAGCGGAGCCTGCAGCCCCGCATGGGGGTGCCCGTGGCCGCCTCCGGCCCCCGGTGAGCGGCTGCTGCCCCAGCAGTCGCACCAGCCAAGTGGGGGGGGGCGCACATCGGAGGGCGGGGAAGGGGAGCGGGTCAGGGCTGCTCGGCCAGCCGGCCTCTGACGTCATGCGCCTCTGGATCCATCGGTTGCCACCCCGGCCTCCTCGGGCCACGGCCAGGGAAGATTCCCGCGTGTGCCACCGCCAGCTGCTCGCCTCAGACCGAGGCTGGCCGACAGCGCCCTTCCCGGTGCCCGATTCCCCTCCCTGCCCGCCAAGCACATCTGGGGTGGGGGGGAGGGCGCACCGGGCAGGCTGGCCCCGAGCGGGGACAGCCGCCGAGGGGAGAGGCTGCTGTTCAGGGCGGCTCCTCCGGCGGCCAGGGCCCCCCACCACGCGCGCCAGCCGGGAGGTGCCAGTCAGCGCTGCCCTTTGCCAGAAGTGCCCCTTGAGAGCGCGAGCGCTGGCTCCAGCTCCAGATGGGCACCTCTGGGCAGGCCCGGCACGTGGGCAAAGCAGAGAGGCGGCCCCCCCGGCCGCAGTGGCTGGCCACGCGATGGGTGCCTGGGGTTGGGGGGTCGGTGGGGGTGGGGGAGCAATCCGGAAGGGGCTGGCACTGGGGAGTGGGGAGGGGCAAGGGGCCGGGCCGGGCCGGGCCCGTCCCGGCCGGGAGCAGCATCTGGGGGGCACCTGGACTGGCCAGACTCCAGGTCTGGCATGGAATGAGCGATGCTTCCCCCCTGCGGGCACGGAGGCTCTCCCGGCCCCTGAGCCACCCCTGTGCGCTTCAGCTGCTTTTCCTGATAATAGGTTCTGGGGCAAAGCAGTGTCTGCACCACACGCCGAGCCATGGGGCGGGGGCACCGGGGGGGTGGAGGTGTGTGGCTGCCAGTCGGCCGGCGGCGCTCTCCCCCGGTGCGTGGCAGGAAGGCAGGGCGGGCGCGCGGACCCAATCCTCCCAGGAGAGGCCTGGAGGGGCCTCGGGCACGGCCCACCCGCGTCCCCGGGGCCGCGGGCGTGGGGGTCCAGCGGAGGAGGAGCCCCGCGCCCACCTGCAGCGCCCTCTCCCCGCCCGCGCAGGTGCTGTCCCTGGGCGCCGACGTGCTGCCGGAGTACAAGCTGCAGGCCCCGCGCATCCACAAGTGGACCATCCTGCACTACAGCCCTTTCAAGGCGGTGTGGGACTGGCTGATCCTGCTGCTGGTCATCTACACGGCCATCTTCACGCCCTACTCGGCCGCCTTCCTGCTCAACGACCGCGAGGAGCAGGCCCACCGCTCCTGCGGCTACTGCAGCCCGCTCAGCGTGGTGGACCTGATCGTGGACATCATGTTCATCATCGACATCCTGATCAACTTCCGCACCACCTACGTCAACTCCAACGAGGAGGTGGTCAGCCACCCGGCCAAGATCGCCATCCACTACTTCAAGGGCTGGTTCCTGATTGACATGGTGGCCGCCATCCCCTTCGACCTGCTCATCTTCGGCTCCGGCTCGGAGGAGGTGGGCGCCCGGCTCTCGCCACGTGCCTGTGGGCCCCGGGCCCCAGCCTGCCTGCCTGCCTGCCTGCCTGCCTGCGGGAGAGGGCGGCCGGCTGAGCGCCGGCCGTGGCGCGGGCCCTGGGAGGTCGCGGGATGTCTGACCACATGCTGGCCGCGCGGAAGGGCTGGCCCTCGGTGGCAGACGGAGCACAGCTTAGATGCTGCAGGCTGGGGGGCCCTTTCACTGGTTGCCGTCCTGGACTGCAGCGCAGGCCGGAATCCCACAGGTTTAAATCTTTCCCTTGCACATCTGTATTGTGGAGCAGAAAAGCTCATTCTCTGCCAGAGTAAAGACTGGAATTCCGCCTGTGAGGGAGGTGGGCTGTGAGGTTGCCCGGAGCTATCGACCGAGGGGGGCGAGGCAGACCTGGCCAGGTGGGGCAGCCTGAAAGGGTCCTTCCCCCCCCCCTTTGCTGGCCTTATTTGGGGGGGGCATGTGTCATGGGGATTTGTGGCCTGGGAATGGCTCCTCTTCCGCCGCCAGTCTGGCCTCACGGCTCCCGGAAGGGCTGCCGCCGCTCGCCCCATCTGGCGCGTGTTCGCAAGCACGTGGGGAAAAATTGGGTCTGGCCCCGAGGGAGGCCGGTGCGTGGGGGGAGGATGCTCTCTGGGAGTCGCAGGTGTGCAGGCGGGGGGGGCGGCTTCAGTGGGCCGGGGAGGCGGACGCACCTGGGTACGGAGACCGTGCGGGAGATGCGAGGCTCCCGCACCATCTGCCGCTGCTGCTTGGCCGGCTCAGAGCGGTGGGAGCAGTGCGGGAAGGGCCCCCCCCGCCAGCGGGTCCCCCCCACGCGGCTGGCCAGTGGCATCCACGTGCCTCCGGGGGGGAGCGCGCTCGCCCGGGGCCGTGCTGCTCCGGAGGGCCAGCCGGATGCAGATTCCGGGGCCTTGAGCCCGCTCTCTCGCGCCCTGCGCTCTGGGGTGAGCGGGGAGCGGTCCGGGCCCCCCACTCTGGGGCAGCCGGTCAAGGCCTTGCCGAGGCTCTCCCCCAGTCCTCCCCCTGTGAGGCTGAGCACCCCCGGGACTTTCCGACTCTCCGCCTCGGGCTTTGCTGCCAGCTCCAGGTCACTTTTGCTGCCCTGCTCCAATTTTTTCCAGCTTGTCTGCCTCCTTCCTGCAGGGTGGAGCCACTACGGGCCCCGTCCCCCAACGCGGCCTGACCGGGCCAAGTACGGCCTACTGCGTGGGAAGCGATGCTTCTGATCCTGCAGCCCAGCAAGGGGCTGGCGGTTCCTCGCTGGCGGCCCATGCGGGGGGGCCCACACAGCCTGGCCCAGGGCGCTGCTGGGCTGAGCCTGCCCCCCCACCCAGAGAGCAGAGGCTGTGCCCCAGAGCTCCAGCCCAGCGCACACCCGGGCCATGGCAAGGCGTGGGGTGGGTGGCACACACATTCTGCACGGCCCGCTGCCGGTGCCGTCCCTTGACCGTCGTCTCGGGTGGACCACGCCAAAGGGAGCCCCTCGCCAGCGCCAGTGGCGCATCCCTCCCAAGTGCCACCGCTGCGGCCCGTCCAGGCTGCGCAATCCCACAAACGTCCTGCTGGCCAGGATCCGGAGGCAGGGGCAGCGGGGCTGGGCCGGGGAGGGGCTGGGCCCTAGCTGCCCCGGGCACTGCCCTCTGGCTCGAAGCCCCTCCCTGAGGCTGGCAGCCCCTCGGCTGACGGATCCGCGGGAGGGAAGGTCGGGGCCTGCCAGAAAGCCCATCCGGCGACCCGTGCAGAGGCGCTGGAGGCTGCTGAGGACGGCTCCCGCATCGGACCCCCTGTCGGGTGCCGGGAAGGGACCCGGCCGTGAAACGGGCTGATGGGGAGGCGCCGGAGGGGCCTGGCAGGGGCCAGGAGGACCGCCGGGGAGGGCCGTGGGCAGCCGGCCTGCGCCCGGCTCCTCTTGCTCAGGCGCGACTCCCACGCCAGGGCAGGCGGCGTGCGGCCGGGTGGCCCCGGGACGCCCCTCCCCGGGCTCCAGGTGCGCGGGCCCCTGCTCCAGGGAGGGCTGCGGGCGGCCCCCGGCCCTGACGCCCGCCTCCTCCGCGCAGACCACCACCCTGATCGGGCTGCTGAAGACGGCGCGGCTGCTGCGGCTGGTGCGCGTGGCCCGCAAGCTGGACCGCTACTCGGAGTACGGGGCGGCCGTGCTCTTCCTGCTGATGTGCACCTTCGCCCTCATCGCCCACTGGCTGGCCTGCATCTGGTACGCCATCGGCAACATGGAAGGCAAGGACATCGGCTGGCTGCACTCGCTGGGCGGCCAGATCGGCAAGCCCTTCAACGAGAGCACCTCGCACCTGGGCCCCTCCATCAAGGACAAGTACATCACCGCCCTCTACTTCACCTTCAGCAGCCTCACCAGCGTCGGCTTCGGCAACGTCTCGCCCAACACCAACCCGGAGAAGATCTTCTCCATCTGCGTCATGCTCATCGGCTGTGAGTCCTGCCGCGGGGGGGGGGCACTCGGGGCCGGCTTCGGGGCCCCGCGCACACCCGCCCGCGCTGGGGCCGCGATGCGAGAGGTGTCTGGGTGGGTGTGCCGTGGGGGGGGTCATCCCGCCACTCAGGGCCTCCTCCTGGCTGGATGCAGCCCGGAGAGCCTCTCGGAGCAGAATCCGGTCCTCTGAAGGCCTCGGGGCAACCCGGCAGCGCTTGCGGGAGCAGAGCGGCCAGAAGCCCTTCCGGGCTGGGCCCTCGGGAGGGGCTCCCTGGGGCTGGGGAGCCCTGCCAGGCCTCTGCGTGCCCCCAGCCTGGCCAGCGGGTCTGCAGGGCACTCCTTGGGCGGCCGGGCCCGGTGAGCGCCAGGCAGGAGGAGGGGGCCGGGGCGGGCGGCTGCCGAGGGGGCAAGTGGGCGGCCCGGGCCCCGGGGGGCGGCAGTGGCGGAGGCTCACCAGGCCGGCGCCCTCCCCCTCCGCCAGCGCTGATGTACGCCAGCATCTTCGGGAACGTCTCGGCCATCATCCAGCGGCTCTACTCCGGGACCGCCCGCTACCACACGCAGATGCTGCGGGTGCGCGAGTTCATCCGCTTCCACCAGATCCCCAACCCGCTGCGGCAGCGGCTCGAGGAGTATTTCCAGCACGCCTGGTCCTACACCAACGGCATCGACATGAATGCGGTGAGTGGGCGGACGCGCCGGTGCAGGGCGTGGAGCGTGGGGCCGGGCAGGGGCAGCGGGGGCCCACAGGCCCGCCCCGCCTGGCCCACCTCCCAGGGCTCCAGTGAGGATGGAACGGGAGGGGAGGAGCTGGCCCGCGGGGGCACGAGGGTCGGGAGGGGCCTTTGCGCAGGCGATCCGGCCGCACCGGCTCCCCGCGCTGAGGCTTGCCCGCCCCGCCGAGAGCCCTGCCGGGACGGAGGCTCCCCGGGGCACCTGCCAGCCCCGCCGAGCCTCACCTGCCCCCCCGCAGGTGCTGAAGGGCTTCCCCGAGTGCCTGCAAGCCGATATCTGCCTGCACCTGAACCGCACCTTGCTGCAGAACTGCCGCCCCTTCAAGGGGGCCACCAAGGGCTGCCTGCGCGCCCTGGCCATGAAGTTCAAGACCACCCATGCGCCCCCCGGGGACACGCTGGTCCACGCCGGGGACGTCCTCACGGCCCTCTACTTCATCTCCCGCGGCTCCATCGAGATTCTGCGCGGCGACATGGTGGTGGCCATCCTGGGTGAGCAGGCGTCACCGGGGGGGGGGCGCCATCGGGGGGCACGCCGGTCCTCCCGCCTCCACCGTGCCCAGTCTTCCAGAGAGAGGTGCATGGGGGCTGCCCCCCCCCACTGGCAGGGTCTGTCCAGCTGGGGGTGCTGGCCTGGCTGAACCGCCTGGGGCTGGCACAGGGGCAGGTCTCCGAGGGCTCGTGCCCAGGCAGGCTGGGTGGCTTTCCCCGCCCCTGGCTCACAGGGGGGGGGGGAGAAGGGCTCCTGAGGCCGGGTCAGGCCGCAGGACCCCCCCACAAGAGCCAGCTTCCCAGTGGGGCACGCCAGCACCCCTCACAGCCTGTCCCTCGGCTCCGCTGAGCCCAGGGCTTCCGTGGTGCTGGAGGGGCCACAGGCTCAGGGCAGCAGGCAGGGCCCCTCTGCCGCTGGCCCCCGGCACTCGCGGCAGGGCATTCCCCGAGCATCTCCCGTTGGCCCCACACCCTCTGGGCTCCGAGCGCCCGCCCAGACCATCCCACTGGAATGGGGGATTCCCTCGGCGATGCCAGGTGTCCAGCCTGCCCGTCTCCGTGCTCTGAAACGGGGAGGCTACGGCCCCCGTGTGCCTCCCAGGTCCCCTCCTGCGCCCCCGTGGCCTGCCCAGCCCAGCACGGCTGGCACGGACTGGCAGCAGCTGCCCTCCCTCCAGGCTGCTGAGCAGGGCCCTTTCCCGGTTCACCAGCGCTGTGCACGATCCACGTGGCCACATCCTGGCGGGCGCCAGCTCCTCCTGGCATCGGGCCCAGCCCCGCCAGAGAAAGGAGCGCGGCCCTGCGGGGAGACGGGGTGCTTCCTCAGACGCCCCAGGGGAATCGTAGGGCGCAAGGAGGGCCGTCTGGTCCACCCCTCCAAGTTGCGCCCCCGCCCCGCCCCACTGCGTCCCGCCCCACAGCCGTGGAGCCACCCGATCGTGGAGCTATCCAGCCCACAGCCGAGCCACGTCCACCAGGCCACGGGCGCCCTGCAAGCTGTGCCAGGTGCGCCTGCGATTGCTCATAACGAAGCGAGGAGAGACTGAGGCTTTACTCAGAAGTAAATCCCATGGGTTTGCGGGGGTGCTCCCGCTCCGTAGCTGACACATGAGGCGCTTCCTCCCGCGGCGCGTTCCCTCATGCCCGCTGGCCAGGGGGCGCCTCCTGTGCGTCATCAGAGGCCGGAGTGCCAGGCACCTGCAGCCCTTTGCCCCACCTTCCCCCCTGGATTTGGGCCTGAGACCGGATCGTCGGGGGGGCCTGGAGCGCTTGTGGTCACCAAGCCCGGGCCGGGACGTTGGCCAGTTCTGCCTGGGAAGCGGGCCTCCTATGGCGCCAACGTCAGCGCCACCCTTCCTAGTCATGCGCGTATCTCTGGACGCATGGGTCGGCGTGGGCAAAGGCATCCCGCTTTCTGCCCTGTGACTGTCTTGGGACCAAGCAGCACACCCGCGGCCTGCGGGGCCCCCTTTCCCCCGCGGCTACAAGCTGGGAGGGAGAAGGGCCCCGGTGCCCCCACGGCCCCGCTGGCGGGGCGTTTCCCAGGCCCCGCTGCGCCGCGCCATCTCCGCCACGGCCGGAGTCCGTGGGGCCGCTGCCTTGCCAGCTCGGCCAGGGAAGTGTGGGCTGGAGAGGCCAGGCCCCGCAGAGCCGCCTGCTCGCCCCCCGCCCCCCCCGTCTCGTCTCGTCTCCTCCGCACGTGCCGCCGGCCGGGGGGCTCACTCTCCCCTCTGCCGTCCAGGGAAGAACGACATCTTCGGCGAGCCGCTCAACCTGTACGCGCGGCCGGGCAAGTCCAACGCCGACGTGCGGGCCCTGACCTACTGCGACCTGCACAAGATCCACCGGGAGGACCTGCTGGAGGTGCTGGACATGTACCCCGAGTTCTCGGACCACTTCTGGTCCAACCTGGAGATCACCTTCAACCTGCGAGATGTGCGTCCCCTCCCCCCTGCAGCCCCACGGTGGCGTGGCCCGCCCCCCCGCACAGAGGCCCGGCGGCCACGGCTAACGAGCTCTCCTTGCCCGGCAGACGAACATGATCCCCGGCTCGCCCAGCAGCGATGAGATGAATGGCGGCTTCAGCCGGTTGCGCCGCCGGAAGCTCTCTTTCCGCCGGCGCACCGAGAAAGGTGGGGGAGCACCACACACCCAAGGGTCATTCGGGGGGGGGCTTGCCGTGCAGCACTGCCGCCCCTCAGCTGCTTCCCTGCCCTTGGGGCACGGCTGCAGCTGCAGGATCAGCCTCACAGCCAGAGCAGAGCCACGACGGGGGACGGGGCGGGGGGAGCCAGTGGGCCTCTCTGCCTCTGCTGCAAGGAGCTGGGGGGACGGCCGGCAGGAAGCAGCTGCGCCCCCTCCCCGAGGACCCCAGGACAGCTGGGGAGACCGCTCCGCTGCCCGCCTCAGCCCCTGGCAGGAAAGGCCCGATGGGGTGGCTCCCGCTGGAGGGGGGAGCTGCCCCGCTGAGGGCCGGGGGGCTGTGAAGCCGCGCCCGGTGGCCAAGAGGCACCCTGACCCTCTGCCCGCCTCCCTGGCCTCGGCCTCACGCTGCCTCCCCCACAGACGAGGAGAATCCGGGCGAGCCGAAGACCCCGCAGAAGGCGCTGCACTCGGCCCAGGGCTGCCCGGCGCCGGGGCCCCCGCGAGGCCCACCCCGGTGGGAGCCGTGCCTGAGCAGCTCCGTGGCATCCAGCCCGCCGTCCAGCGACGAGGACGAGGCCCCCCTCCCGGCCCCCCGGGCCACCGAGCTGCTGCCTTTCCGCCCCGCAGAGCCCCCCGGGGGGCCGCCCTCCCCCGCGCCCCCGGAGCACAAGGGCCGCGACACCCGTGGTCCGCTCGCAGGTAGGCGTCACGCGCCCCACCCCGAGCAGCACCCCGGTTCCTCCGCTGGGGGGTGGGGGCCTGCTGGCACGGTGGGAGCCATGTGCTGTGCCCGCTGCGCCTGGCTGGGCCGCACGGCTGCAGAGCGGCCGGTTTGCGCACGTCCGGGGTCTGAAGGGGCTGCTGGGCTCCCCATGGCAGTCGCGGGGCGAGCGGGCCTCTTCCGGCACTGGCTCCCCTGGCGCGCGGTCCAGGCCAGAGCGCCTCCTGGGTCTGGGCGGGGCGTTTGAAGCACGGCCCCCCTTCGAGGCCCCGCGCTCCCCCCTGCGCTGCTCCAAGCCCCTTCCCTGCCCACAGGGGCCTTCTCGGGCATGTCCAACATCTTCAGCTTCTGGGGCGAGAGCCGAGAGCGGCACCACCAGGAGCTGCCCCGCTGCACGGGCCCGACCCACGGCGCCCTCAGCACCCCCCTGGGCAGCCCCACGCCCGCGAGCCGGCAGCATCGCGCGGAGCTGGACGGGCGCCTGGACCGGCTCCAGAAGCAGCTGAACAGGTACAGGGCCCGCTGCGCTCCACCACATGGACAGGGCGGCGCCCGTGCGGCTGAGATCCCCACACGTGCAGGGGGGCTGGGTCTCGGGGCGGCCCCCTAGAGGCGAGGGCAGGGCCCACGTGCCAGCCATGCCCTGCCTCGTGGGACTGAGTGGCGGTGCGGCCCGTCTGCTGACCCCAGCACAGATCGAGGGGGCTGAGAAACTCTGGGCACCCAGGCACAGCCCCCCCTCCCCCCCGCCGGCAGGCATGGAGCAGGGGGGGGCAGGCAGTTGCCCCCCCCCCCACGAAGGGCGCCGCCTGGGACTGCGGGCACCGGGCTTGGTCTCCGGGGCCTGCCTGAGCGCCACGGAGCCCGTGGCCAGGAGCTCCCCGGGCAGCTGGGAGGAGCCGAGGGAGGTGCCCGCCCCCGGCATGCAAGAGCCCCCACGCCCCACCGCCAGCCCCTCCGGAGCTCCCTTCCCACATCAGGCCCTGTGGAGGGCCGGGGCCAGGCCCCCTCGCCGCCCGGCCACCACAGCGTGCCCCCTTCTCCCCGCAGGCTGGAGAGCCGCCTGACCGCCGACGTGGCCGCCATCTTGCAGCTGCTGCAGAGGCAGGTGGTGCTGGTGCCGCCAGCCTACAGCGCCGTCTCGTCCCCACAGCCTCCGGGCCCTGAGCCAGCCCCCGGGGAGCGCCCCCTGCCTGCCCCTCCCCTCCAAGCCCAGGCACAGGTGAGCCGCCCCAGCAGCCCCCTCCCCAGGCCCCGAATTCCTCCTCCCTCCCGGCAGCCCCCTCCTGCTCACGGGAGGCACCGTTCTCCGGAAGCAGCACCAGAGGTGCTCCTGGCAGCACTCCTCGAGCCCTGGGCGACCGGCAGCGCCTCCGCATGGCCAGCAGGGTCCGTGACATCCGCTCCCCCGCCCGCGGTTCACGGGTGCTGCAGGCGCCAGGGCTCTGCCCGCGACTGACCACCCCGCAGGCCCTGCTCCCTCTTGCCCGGCGTGCGCGCCCTCCCTGCTCCCCCGCCAGGGCCAGGCACGCCGTGGCTGCCGTGGCAGGGAGCCTCTTCCGCCCGCTGAGCCGGTCTCCCCGGTCTCTGCCCTCCCTGCCGGGCGTGCGCGCCCCTCTGTGCCTGGTGCCCACCTTGCAGGCCTGGCAGGGGCGGGAAGGGCCCAGGGGCAGCCCCAGCCTGGCCGGCCGGCTCCCCCTGCCTCCCCCGGGCTGAGGCCGCCTCTTGCCTCCTCACAGGTGCCCGGCTTCCCGCTGCCGTGCCTGGACTCCGCGTGCCCGCCCAGCGGCGAAGTGGTCCTGCTGGTGGAGCCACCCCCGCCGGCCCCTCGGCGCCTCTCGTTGCCCGGGCAGCTGGCCCCGGCCTCCCAGGACTTGTCCACAGACTTGCACAGACACTGCTCGGACCCTGGCAGTTAGTGGGCAGTGGCGCGAGGGGCCCACGCAGGGTCTTCTGGAGAGTTGGGCGCTGGCCCCCTGTGGCGAGTGGGGGCCGCTGTGAGCCCGTGGGCGCCCCGAGGGCAGTGGCTGCCCCGGGGCTTGGTCCGGACAGGGGCCAGCCCGGGCCCACCTGCTGGACTGTTAGCTGGCCTGACGGGAGCGGGCAGCCCTGGGGCCACCGGCTGATCGGCTGGCCGGGACCGGCGGCGGGTAGGTGGGCTGCCCACAGGAGTAGCCGTGCTAGTGACTAATACTGTTAACTGATAAGGGTTAGAAGAACCCCGCCCTTGTGCTCCCTAACATATCACCCAAGACCCAAAACGTGCGCAGCAGCCCACGCGGGGGAGGGACCGGGGGCCCCCATCCGAGGCACACCGGGCGGTGGCGCGCCTTCCCGCATCGTGCCCGGCCTTCCCGCGTGTGCATGTGTGCGGCCACTTGCGGCCGCGGCCACCCTCTCTGCACGCCTGGCGGAGGCCCCTCCCGCGGCCTCTCCCGCTGAGCCCCCCAGGGCTGCGGGCGGTGTGCGTGCGCCTGTGCCAGCGAGACGCCTGGCACTCGCTCTCCCAGAGCTGTGGCTGGGCACGGGTCCTCGTCCTCCGCCACCGGTGAGGCTGCAGCGGTGCAACACGGACCAGAGGGGCAGGCGAGGGGGGGCCCTGCAGGAGCCCCACACGCACCTGTCCCCTGCGGGATGCGAGGGGGGCGGGGGTCGAGCCACGCCGTGCCCGCCCCAAATCAAGCGGGAGGCAGCCGCTCAGCCCTGCCCTGCCAGAGCCCTTTCTTGCCCCACCAGCTGTGTTGCGGGGGCCCGGGTGAGCTGTGGGGCACCCCATGGCCTCAGCATGAGTGCGGACATCTGTGCATGAGTGCCTGCAGATCTCGCGAGGCGTCTTCCTTCCCTAAGCGGGAAGAGGACACAGCTTGGGTGATGGGGGGCCCCCACCTGGCAAACTGGCCCAGCGCCCCGGGAGGAGCCGTGCCGGGTGCAGCAGGCCCTCCCCGCAGGGGATCTCCCGCAACGCCGGGGGGGGGGCGTGTGTGGTGCCCGCTTCCAGGTGCCCGGCTGAGCCACTGGGGAGGGGGAGCTCCGGCCCCACGAAGGGCCACTCGATGCCCGCAGCTCTTGGCACCCCCAGGGGAGAGGGCCCTCCCGCTTGCCACCCCTCGCGTTGGAATGCGTGCGACCCGCCCCCCCCCCCCCCCCCGCATGCCACGCGCAGCATTAGCAGTTAACACCCAATAAACAGCGTCTGAGCGGGAGCTGCCTCCGTGTTTCCTCGGTGGGGCCGGGCAGGCGCTGCGTGAATGCGCATGCAAGGCGGGCCTGGGTGTGGGGCGCATCTGCAAGGGGGGAGCCGAGGGGGCAAGGCGTGCGCGCGCCACACACGTGCCCCCCAAGGGGCTATCGGACTCGGACGATTCGGGAAGGGGTGGAGCGGAATGGCCGTTCCGTGAGGGCGCCCATGGAGGGGCAGCCGAAATCCCCGCGAGGGCGAGGCCGGCGCGGCCCTCTTCCCGTGGCGCTCGGAGGCGAGCCCGCCGCGGTGCCCGAGCTCCGCGGGTGGAGCCCCGACCGGCGCCGCGGCGGGGCAGGCGGCCGGCCAGCACGGCGGTCCGCAAGGGGATGCTGCGGCGGGGCGGGCGGCGGGGCCCTCGCGGAGGGTCTGCTTGGGGCGGCACAGAAACGGCCGCGGCGGGCTGCTCGCGCACGCCGTGCGACCTGGTCAAGCCGGAGTTTTCCTCGGAAGGGAAAGGCAGAAAACAAGACAAGACGCCCTGGGCAGACCCCCAGCCTGCGGGACAGCAAACGCGGGGGGGGGGGGCGGGGCGGAGAGGCGACCAGCTGTGAGGCAGCCATTCCATGGAGGAATCGGAAGCCGCAGAATCGTAGCGCAGGAGAGTTAGGAGGGGCCTCCGGGGTCCTGCCTCTGCTGCTGCAGAACACCAGGTCACCCCCCCACACACACTCGAATGTCCCCAGTGTGGGAGAGCCCCCCACCGCTCCGGGCGGCTGGCCCCACTGTCTCATTGCTCTGACAGTGAAGAAACTTCTCCTGATGCCTCGCCTCGATTTGGGTTGAGGAAGACTCGATGGCGCAAAACAGGCATCCGGGAAGAGGCTGCAGCGCTTGGTTCTGCTTAGCTGAGGAGAGAGGGGCGACCGGGCCACTCCGCCTGCAGGGGCGGCACCCGAGGCAGCGACACCGGAGAGGTGCAGCCCGTGACGCTGGTCGGTGGGGGGCGCGGGGCGCGTTGCTCTTCCACGGGATTCACTCCCACGAGACGCCCGCCCTGTCGGAGGGCTTTAAAGGCGCAACAGGAATCCACGCAGGCAGGAACTCCCCGGCTGCCGGCGGGGAGGGACCTGTCCGCGGTACGTGCACCTGCTCCGCTTCGTGGGCCTCTTTCCCGGCTTCTGCTTGTCGCCAGAATCACTTTTCCGTCTTGAAAAGCAAGACGTGCGTATTGTCTGAGCATACAGTGAGCGAGCGAAGCGCACAGAAACGCCAGAGGGCAGCGCCTGAAAGGGGTCCAGAGACTCGTACAGCGCGAGGGGGTCTGTCAGGGACACACGCTGGCAAATCATTTGACTGCTGCGTTTCCGTGTGGCTGCACTCGCACAGATCCTGCCAAGTTACAGATCCGAGCGCTCGGGGGATGGCTGCCCACTGCAGCGTCTGTGCGCCGGGTCCAAAGACACCCGAAGCCGCGCGCCCGCCTGGTTTCCTCCAGCCTCTCCGCCACGGACCTCCCTGCCCTGGTGGGCTCCTGCGCGGGCACGGGGTCCTCGTGGCCCGGCCCGGCCTCGGCTCGCCCCACGCCGGAGCCGGAGCGTCCCAGAGGCCGCCAGCAAGAGCCGGGAGGCGTCCTCCGAGCACGGGCTCAGGCCGTCGGAGCGCAGTTTCTTCCCCGACACGCGCCCGCTCGCCTCGCCGGGCGCCGCGCCGCGCGCCCCTCTGCACAGGACACCCCAGGCAGCCCCGCCTTCCCGTTCACACGTCCGCGTGACGCCCCCGCGCCCTGCGGGCCACGCACCGCGCGAGGGCGCCGGGCGGGGCGAGCAGCCGGGCGGGGCCGGAGGCTTCGGACCTCCGCTCGCTGGACGGCAGCGCCACCCTGTGACGGGAAACCTCCGGGACGGGCGGCCGCGCGAGGGGGGGCCTGCGGGAGGCAGCCCGTCCTGCCCCGGCCGCTTTCGTGCGGAGACCGGCTCCGAGGGAATGTGTGCCCGCGCCCCGGCCGGTGGAGCGCCAAGCGGAGCGGCCGTGAGATCCCCCCAGGACGCCGGGCCAGGCTCTGGCCCCCGCGGCAGGCGCAGGAGGGGCCACGTCGGCCTCCCGCTTCGCCCGAGCGCGGGTCCACGGGCCACGTGCGCCCGGCTGGCTGGCCGGCGGCCGCACCGGCACCTGCTCGCCGCACGCCTCGCCCGGAGGAAGGACCGCGCGCAGCGAGGCCTTGGGTGGCCCGGAGAGCTGCGAGCGCCACGCAGGAGAGCGGGCGGCTGGCGCCTCGGCCGCCCTCACTCGCGCGTTCCTCGGCTTGCTGCCGGCGCCTCTCAGCAGCAGCGCCTGCGGGAAGCAGGCGACCGCCCAGAGTCCCCCGCCCCCCGCCGCGGCCGGGTCTTCCTAGCCGGCCCCTCCGCCTCCTGGCATCCAGGGCCCCGCCCGTCACGGGGGGCTGAGAGGAGGTGAGCCAGGCCCGCATCGCCCACGGAGACGTCTCTCTGGCTCTGGGCGTGGCCGCCCTCAGTCCCCGCTGTGCCCGCGCATGGGCCTTGGAGGCAGGCAGCAGGGCGCCCCCGAGGGGCCGGGGCCGGGAGCGAGATGATAGGGCCGGGGCGGGGGCTTCAGTGGTAGCCAGGGCCATATTCTGAAGTGGGGCGGCCCTGCCGCAGAACTGTCCCCGGGGCTCTCGGGCGTCCCAGGCTGGACGCGGCCGCACCGGCGGGCCCAGGCACCGGAAAGGCACCACGGGATGCACCCCGAGGCGGGGGCAAGCCGCACGCGCCCTTCCCTTGCGCGTGTCCCTTCCAGATGGAACCAGTTCCAGGCAGCCCCACTTCTGCTGGGGGTCCGGCTCCAGAAATGGGAGGGCGAGAGGGCTGAAGGAGGCTGGGTCGGGAAGAGGAGCGCCCCCGTGTGGTCCGGGGACGGGGACCTTGGTGGGCTCTCCCAGGGGGCTGCAGTAGGGCTGGTCCTCCAGACCGCCGCTCCAGCAAGCGCAGGGCGGGCCAAGCGGGGCGTGGGGGAAGCCACCCTTGCCCGGAGGGGGGGTCTTCCCAAGCCAACCGGCTGTCCAGCAGCCCGGCAGCGCTCCAGGAATGCTTTTCCTGCTGCCTCTCCTGGCAGCCGGTGGACCGAAAGCCTTCCCTCCCCAGGGGAGAAAGAAGGCCCCCGTTCTCCGCAGGAGTGGCTCCCTCCCCCCTCGGGTGGGGCCAGCGAGAGCTTCGCAGAAGCCCCGTTAATGCTTCCTCAGCGGGGCTGCCTTTCCACGCGCTTGCCCACCCCGTCCTTCACAATGCCTCCCTTCAACGTGCCGGGGCAGAGGGTGCGCTAACCAGCTGCCCTTCCCGTTCCCTCCTGCCTCCCCCTCGGCGCATCGATCATCGGGGCCTGTCAAACATTTTTGTAAGAAGGCTGACGATCTTGTTTCTAGGCGACCGGCGTGGCGATTTCTTCACTTTTAGCTGGTCCGAAAGGTTTGAGAATGTCGCCGTTTTCACCCGTGCCCCCTTGATTCCCGAGTGCCTGCCTGAATACGCGCCTCCAGGCACAGGCGCCCAGTCTGTCCGTCCCTCCGCTGCGAAGGCAGGCGAACGGACCCCTGCAGCTGCTCTGCAGGCTCCTCGCCCTCTCGGAGGCCTCCTTGCTCGCCCGGCCAGGCAGTGGCCCCGCCGGCTCTTGGGCTGGTTGCCTTACTGCTGCCCTTGATGGTTCAAAATGCGGCGTCCCCCCCCCCCCCATTACCTCCCGTGCGCAGCCTCGGCTCCGGAGTTGGGCAATAAAGAAGAGCCACGCAATGATGAGTCAGGAAGGAAGGGCCAGGAGGTCACTGGTCCCACCCCCTCCAGCCGTTGTTCACCTTGGCCTCTTGGGCCGCATGGGATTTCCCGGCTCCTGGAATGCAAATAGCCGGCAGCCCAGCTGGTCCCGGAGACCTCCAAGCGCCTGCAGCGATTCCGCCCTCTGCACGTCCACTTCTTCCCGGCGGCTTCCGTCCCCCGAGTGGGCTGGGCTGCAGCTCGAAAGGGCTCTGCGGTTCTTCGCGTTGTGCACCAGCAGCCTGGCTGCATCTGGGTTCAAGGAGCCGCCCCTCCTGCACAGGCCTGGCTAGTTCCCGGGGCCTGATGAATTGGACCCCCTCCTCCCTACGCCCCCCATCCCTGCACCTGTCCGACCGGCCCTGTGCGTGGAATGGGCAGCCTTCCGGGGGGAGCCCCGGGGGGGCCCTGTTCCCCTCCTGCCGCCGAACCCAAGCTTGTCCCCAGGACCTCAGGACCCACACTGCCGGCACCCACGCGGAGCAGGACCGCCGGCTGGCTCCAGCCCCACACTGCCTATGGGGTCACAGCCGCCCTGTGGCCCATGTGCCGTCACCCCCTCCCAGAGCCATCACCGCTCCCAGTGGGCAACGCACAGACCGGCAGGTGCTTCTGGGCCGCCTGCTGTGCCACGACGGGGCTGCCTCGCCCGGCCAACCCACCCGCCTGGGTGCCGCCCAAGGCAGCTGCTGGGAACTGGGCCGGGGCAGGCAGAGGGGCAGGCCGCCCGGCCAGCACGGCGCGGAGGGAAGGCCCACCGGCGGGTCGTGCCACCCGGGGCCTCCCGAGCCAGCCACCCTTTGGGCGGCCCCCTTGGGCGAACCCGGGCCCCGGCTCCCTCCCCAGCCGGAGCAGCCCAGCCGTTCCCCTCGGGCCGCCCCCACCCGGGGGACCACCAGCCCCGCCTCAGGTGCTCTCCTCGTGCGGCCACTACAATGATGCGCCAGGCACAATTTCAGCAGCGGTTGAACTGCCCGGTATGGGATGCTCTGCAGGCTTTATCTCTGTTGCTCTCACAACAGCCCTGTGAGGTAGGGCGACAGACCCCATGTTCCCAAAGGCGAAGCTGAGTCCCAGCGACAAGCAAAGGCGCAGCAGTCCAGACTCGGCGGGGGGGCAGGAGCCCACTGAGGGGACTGAGGCCCGGAGCTCCTGCACTCCCCACCCGGCTCCCCTGCGGCTGGGGGGCCGCGTTCATCACGGGGCAGCCAGGAGCAGCGTGGGGCTCCAAGATCAGCCCCCACATGCCGCATGGAGACTTCCCATCCCATGAATGGCCCCACCATGGTGGGGGCGAGGGGCACCCGAGCGCGGCCCAGGCACGTTTGGGGCACACGATGGAGGGGCGCCTGGCTGGGCGCCCCCCGTCCCGAGCCTTGTTTTGCCGGCCAGGTGCTCCGGGGCACTCCCACCACCGCCTGCGCAGGGCCAGAGCGGCCGGGCGTCCTGCAGGGCCCGGGGCCCGTCTGGCCTGTGGCGGCTCGCGGGGGCAGGAGCCATCCCGGGACCAGCTACTCCAGGCTGTAGGTGCCGTTGTAGCGGAAGGGCTCCTCGGAGACGCACAGCCCGGGGCTCGCGGGGGTCCAGCGCTGGATGTCCATGCCTCGGCCGCTCCCGGGCTGGGTGGGGCGCACGATGACGGTGCGCCGGGAGGCCACCGACGGGTCCTCATCGAAGAAGTTGAAGGGGCGCAGGTAGAAGCCCACAACGTTGCCCGGGGTGGCCGTGTTGGGGACGTCCTCAGCGTGCGGGATGTGGAGGAAGCCCACCGTCACCCAGGCCACCAGGTCCTGCGGAGAAGAGGCCTCTGGCATGACGGCAGTGTCTGGCTGAGTGCCACCCAGCGAGCCGCGCCCGGGCCGGGCGAGCGGAGCCCTCCTCCCTGCGGCCACATCAGCACTGCGGTCCTGCCTCCCCCCCCCCACTCACCTGGTCGCTGATGCTCTCGTCATTGCGGAGAAAGCTCTCGAAGTTGACGGAGGGATCCCAGGGGTCGTGCTGAATGTAGAGGCTGCTGCTGGTGTCCTCATTCTCGTGGTGCTGAGTCACGGCGAAGTGGTACCTGCCCAAGGGGACGAACCTCAGCCAAGGCATGGTGAGCGGGCACGGGGGCGCCTTGGTGGCGCATCCCAGTGAGGTGGCGATGCTCTGGGATGATCGAGGAGAGACCCTGCCCTCCCCCTTTGCGACAGCCTCCCAAGCACTTGCTCAGTGCTATCATCCCCCCCCCCCCCCCCCCATCCTCTCTCCTCCAGGCTGAACATGTCCCGCTCTCTCCATCCCTCCTCACAGGGCTCTGACTCCAGCCCCAGGTCACCCTCACTGCCCCGCTGGCCCTTTCCAGCCCGTCTGCACCTTTCTCCACCGCGGTGCCCAGACCGGGACGCGGGACTCCGGGCGGGGCTGAGCCAGGGCTGCGTGGGGGGGACCGGCCCTGCGCATGGCTTGCAAGCGACCCCTCCATCCAGGCCACCCGAAAGAGCGTGGGCCCTTTCGCAGCTGCACCGCGTGCCCCTCCCCAGAGCTGGGGATCATGGCCTGCATTTCCTCCTCCTCCTCCAGCTGCGGCTGTTTGATCACTCCAGGGAAGCAGCACCCTGGCCCCTGGCGTCATGACGCCTCCGGTCTGCTTGCGTGGCCACAGGGTGTGCTCTGGCTTTGGGGACCATGGCGGTCTTCTGCACTGGGCTGGAGCCCCTGCCCCCAGAGCACCAGGCCTTGCCCAGCCAGGCAGGATCGCTGCCCCGTCGTTACTCTGCGCGCTTCCCCAGGTCGTTACTTTGCGTGTCTTGGCCAAAGACCCTGGGAAAGGTGGGCCAAGAAGGCAGGCAGCTGTCCACTGTTGTGAGATACCACACCTTATCTGAAGCTACTAATGAGCTTGTACTTTGTTGTATGTTTAGGGCTTGGGGCCTGGATATCTGAAGGGGCTGCTCCCTCCCCACGTACCTGCCTGCTCGTAAAGATCTGGGGCAGAGACCCTCCTCCGGGAGCTCTTACTGAAGGACATCAGAGGACTGGCTGCCCAGAGGGGGGCCTTCTCTGCGGTGGCACCCTGGTTATGGAGTATCCTCCCCGGAGATGGTCACCTCACACCAACACTTCATCCTTCTCAGCGCCAGGCTAAAGCCTTTTCATTTTCCCAATATTTTAAGGTTTGTTATTTTAATTGGGGTTTTACTGAATGATATGCCGCTGCTTTTTACTTTATTTATTGTAAGGCCGTCCTGGGACTTTCGTCAATAGGACAGTATAGAAAAACTTTCAATAAACGTGCTGAGCTGGGTTAGCTTATGCTATTGGATGCTATGAGCTTCTTGAGGGACACTGATGAGAAGCCCTGGGTGATGCAGCTTGCGCCCAGATGGGCTACGGACGGACGGGAAGCGGCATACGGCATGCAGGGCACAGGCCGCCTCGCACGGCCCAGGCACCGCCTCTGTGTGGGGCCCAGCCCCTTCTCGCGAGCGAGCCCTGTCCCCGTGGGTGGGGTTTGGCCCCCAGCGCCCCCGAGGAGGCCGCTGACCCTCCGTTCCAGCTGACCGGAGCCCGCCTGGCAGGCGAATCGCTGGGGGCTTGGCCAAGCGAGCTGGGGCTTCGCTTGCGGCAACAAGAGGTTTCCTCCTTGCGAGTAAGCCTGCGCCAGGGACTCCCTCGGCCTCTGCAGGGGCCATGGGGGCGATGGTCGCCCGCAAAGGACACGCCCGTGGACTCGTGCGCGAGGCCGCCATGAACGCCGGGCCACCGCCGCCTCCTGCCGCGCGCACGCGGCTGCGGCTCCCCGCTCGCCAGGCGGCCGGGGCACGGGAGGCGCGGCGGGGCTCCCCGCCCCCAGGCAGCGATCGGCCCCATCCCACCCCAGCGGAGGACCCGCCGCCTCCCTGCCCTGGCAGCACACGCCGCGCCCGGCAGAGGGACCCCCCGCACTCCGCCCGCCCCCGGGGGGGGGGGTGGCCGGGCAAGCCGGAGGAGCGTCCCCTGCCCCCACCCCCGCCGGCGGCCCCGGGCTCACCTGCTCCACGTGACGCCGCGCTCCTCGCGGTGGTTGCGCGGCAGGACGCGGTCGGCGTGCGAGCGCAGCTGGACGCGGTAGCTGCGCGGGTGCCCCCAGCGGTTGCGCCGCGCGCCGTTGTACAGCACCAGGTAGCGCGGCAGCGGCCGGCCGAAGGGGAAGGCGGCGAGGCGCTCGCTCGCGCGCGGCCGGTGCTCCAGGCGGGGCTGCAGCACCCGCTGGCCGGGCTGCCAGGGCAGCGAGACGTTCTCGAAGGCGATGTCCACGGTCTCGAAGCTGTTCTTGGTGCCTGGCGGGCGAGGGGCGGCGAGCTGAGCGGGCGCGGCTGGCAGGGGAAGCGCCCGGGGAGCCAGCCGGGGGTACTCGCGGGAGGCCGGGGACTGGCAGCCCCCGCAGCGGTCGCGACAGCCTGCCTTGCCCCCGGGGGCCCCGCGTTTTTTATGGTTTTGGGCATGGGAGGCGCCGAGCTTCCCCGCTGAGCAAGACGGCAGCTGGGTTGGCTCAATGCTCACTGGAAAATATATTTGTTAAGGATTTGCAGCTTTTTACCTTTTTCTTTATAGGGCAAGCTGCAATCCCTACGATTAGCTTAAATTGCTGTATTCTTGTGTGGTGGCATATCTGTACTAGCGAGAGAATTGGGCTGTGATTCATGCTTAACGTGCTTTTCCCCACTGACGAAGCAAATGAAGGCCGAAGTGCATACGGGCGAAGGCACTGCAGGCAGCACAGCGCGGCGCAGAGGCCAGTCCAGGTCGCGTGCACATCCGTCAGCAACATCAGAGGACTGCTCAAGCCGTACGCCGTTCCTGTTTGTCAGACTCCAAGCCAAGCGCTTGATGGTTAGGAATGTCCCTCGCGCCGCCATTGCTTGGCACTGCAGGGAACACACGTGCTCCTGCTCGCGCCACCAGGCTGGGTGGCTGCAGGACCACGGGGAACAGCTGCGGCCGCGGCAGAGTCCCTCCCGGCGGGCCGAAGGGCCTGGGTTTTCCCCAGTGGCATCTCCGGGTAGGGCCAGGAAGCCGCGCCAGGAGCCCCAGGTGAGAGGGCCCAGGGGCCCCAGAGGGTTCTGGGACTGGGCTCTGCGGGGCCTGAGTGCTGCGGGGCCCAGAGGAAGGGCTCCGCAGAGCTCGTTCTGCCCCATAAACCCGAACAGAGACTGGGGGAGGGGGCTCCGGTCTGGGGGAGAGTTGCCAGCCTGCAGGCTAGACGTGCACATGGCGGGCGTGTCGCAAGCGGAGCCGGCTGGAGCCGGGGGTCGGACTCGGTGGCCAGGAGCCCCCTTCCAGCTCGCTCTGTTTCTGAGTTTGCACTGCACGTCCCCCGGGTTCCCTGCCGCCCGCGTCCCGAGACGAGCGACCCACCTGCGACATCCAGGTCGACCTTGTAGTGCACCAGGTGTGTGTGGATGTTGCCCAGCAGGTGGTCCTGGAGGCGAGTGCCGTAGCGGAGCCCCTCCGGCGTGTAGAAGGAGGCGTGCACGTAGCCCGTGGCGTGCACCTTGGTCTCCAGCACCCCGTTGGGGAAGAGCAGGACGTCCCAGATGTAGTCGTAGTTGTACACGGTCGAGGTGGTGCGCAGCACGAGCGCGTGCCCCTCCAGGCCCGCATAGAAGTTGGCGCCGCCGCTGAAGTTGCTGTCGAAGTGGCGCCGCAGCGGCACGCCCGTGGGCAGCTCGAAGACGCAGAGGGCGCGGGGGAAGCGCACCGGCCCGTCGGCGTCGTACTGGTGGTGGGCGTCCAGGAAGGTGGCCACTTCCGGGCAGTCGATGCCGGGGGCCAGCTCGTGCGTGACGGCGCCCATGCCCCAGCCGGCATCGATGTACTTGGTCTGCATGGTCGCCGGGGAGCTGCCCCCGTAGAAGGCGATGGCCTCCTGCACGCTCACCTCGTAGGCGATGCGCTCCCCGTTGAAGCGCACGTCGAAGAGCTGCAGGCCGGTGGAGCTGCGCAGCCGGAAGGCGACGCTCCAGCCGCTGTACTGCAGCAGGTTGCCCTGCACGGTGTAGCGGTGGCCCTGCGGCTCGCAGACCTTGGCCCCGTGCGTGTCGGTGGGGGGGCCGGTGGCAAAGTGGCCCCGCGGCACGAAGGAGGAGAAGGAGCCGCTCTCCGGCACAGGCGGCAGGCGGACGACGGCCACCCTGCCCAGCGCGTGCTGCCCCGCCAGCTCCTCGGGGCTGCGGAAGTACTGCCCGTTGTACCACAGCTGCTGCACGGACCAGAGCCGCGGGTCGAGCTCCCTGTGGTTGATGAGGACCTCCAGGCCCACGGGGTGCAGGAAGTAGCCTTCCACGAAACGCTGCAGCATGACCCACGTCCTGCGCTCCCCCGATGCCAGGCCACGGGGCGCGATGTCCGTGAACGTCAGGCACCGGTCCTGGCAGTCCCCGAGGCCGAAGCCCGAGACGTCCCGCAGGAACTGCTGCAGCGGGGCGAGGCACTCCTCCAGTCTGCCGTAGAGCAGCTTGTACTCCTGCTGCGTCATCGGCCGGGCTGCGTAGGGCACCGACCGGCCGTACTGCCGGTAGAAGGTCGGCACGGGCAGCGGCCCCACCACGTACTCGGCGATCCTGGGCTCGCGCTCGGCGCCGTGGAACACCACTGCCCGGGCCCGGCGCCTGGGACAGCGGCCCCCCATCTCGAGGTAGCCCAGGGCATGGCTCTTCCGCGGGGCCAGCAGCTCCACCAGGAAGAGGCTGTTCTGGGCCAGGGACTCCCCCTTCCCCGGCTGGAGCCCCAGCTCTGTGCGGCTCATCAGGAAGCGCCGAACAGCCCAGTGTTCCTCTGGGGTCAAGTCGGAGAAAATGGACGCTGCGTCTTTGGGTTGCGGGAGTGGGCCGGAGTGGGACCAGGCCAGGAGGCCGAAGACCCCCACCACGGCGATCACGTGGGACCACATCTCGGCTGCGGGCCTGCTGGAGGAAGAGGCAGACGTGAGAAAGGGGCGCACGGACGCGCCAAGTGCTCCTCCTCGCGGTGACCATGGGCTGCCCGTCAGGCTGTCCTGTCATCCGCGCCTGGGCGCTGCCACCCACCGCAGGGGCCCCATCAGCCAGCAAGCCTCGGGCCAGAGCCACAGCCGCCCTTGGCTTTCCCCAACCTGCTCCCCGGTGAGCACCACTGACAGCTGCCCCCAGAGGGCCCCAGCGCCCTCTGGGCCACGACAGAGGCTCTCCGCTTTCTGTGGCAGCCCGGAACAGCCCTGGCTGCCGGCGGAATGCAGCGGGGCCTCTCCAGCCGTGGGCGAGGATGGCCGGACTCCGCTGCTCGTCCCAAGGAGGAGCAGCTGTCCTTGCCCGCAGCTGCAGAAGCCTGTGGGCAAGAAACCGTCTGGGGAGAAGCAGGAAGCTGCAGGCTGCTCCACGGACTGCCCTCTCCTCTCAGCTGGGGGAGGCCGGAGCGCCTGACCTGGCCAGCCGGGCAACTTGAGGATGGGCCGGTGCCACTGGATGGGGCGTGCGAACGCATGGGAAGAGCAAACAGGCGCTCGGCAGCAGAGCTCCAGTAGCAAAGGCGGAGGTGAAGGAGTCCCTGAAGACGGTACTTCCTTTAGCCAGCAGCTAATGGGGGGCAGTGCTCTTCTGAGGGAGCCGGGTCTCTTCAGCCCCGAGAGGCGGAGACTCAGAGGGGACCTGCTAGCAATGCGAGCCGCTGCTTTCCTGCTTTCCACGGAGCTGCGCCCGGGGCATGAGCCGCCGCCCGCCTGCCTGTGCACGAGGTGCTCTGGGCCCAGCGGCCTCTGAGGGAGTGCAGAGCGCACCCCCGCGATGCCAGGCTCCATCTCTCCAGCCGCAATCATTTTCAAATCCCATGAGGTGCTATTTACCCGGCACCCAGTCTGGTCACATCTTGAGGGAGCCGGGTCTCTTCAGCCCCGAGAGGCGGAGACTCAGAGGGGACCTGCTAGCAACATACAGGCGTGTGAGGGGGGTCAGGACCTGTTCTCCCCTGCCGTGGAGGGCAGGACATGTTCCAATGGAGCAAAGCCCAGGGAACCAAGGTTTTGTTTGGATGCCAGGAAGCACTTCCTCACCGTCGGGACCCCGAGGGTGTGGAATGGGCTTCCACGGGAGGAGGTTGAGGCTTCTTTGGTGCGGGTGTCCAAGCACCGGCTGGACATGCACATGGTGGGCATGTCGTGAGCAGAGCCGGCTGGGCCGGGGTCAGACTAGATGGCCCGGGAGACCCCTTCTGACTCGCTCTGTTTCTCTGTTTCTTTAAGGCCATGAGCCAGCTGTCCAAAGTGATCCTGCAGTCACGTGGCCAGCGTGGTGTCGCAGAGTGTCGCTACCTTCCCACAGAGGGGGCACCTATTTATCTGCTTGCATTGCGTGATTTCGAACTGCTAGGCTGGCTAGGTGCCAGGGGCGAAGGGAGGCTGGCCCCGAACCTCTGGGGTGCCGACCGTTTCTGGCTGACAGTTCCAGAGTCATTCATCTGCTGCCCCAGTATAAATGGAGCAAAGAATAAAAGGAATAAAAGGTGGATGGAGTCTATTACTGGCCACTCAGTCGAGGAGAACATGAGGCAAAACTTTTGCAAAGCAAACTGGCAGTGTTTCATGGAGGCAAGATGTCAAGATGGGTGCCTTCAGTTTTCCAATATCTGCTGGGAGAGAAATGCTGGCGCCCAGGGCCCCTTCTAGAGATAATTAGCATGTGCTGCTGATAACTTTCTCCCGCAGAAAGTGGAGGGAGAAACAAGAGCGAGGGGCTCTTCCTGCCGTGATCCCAACCAACGTGGAAGAGCTCGTGGACAAAGCAGCAGCTGCCGGAAGCCTGGGAGAAAGCGGCCACGCCAGACTGGGACTCCTGACTCCAAAGCGAGCAAAGCCAAATGCAGCCAAACATGTACCCTGCATTTCAAGAAAGCCTATTTTGATACATTCAGAACAACTATAAGTAAGGTCCCGTGGCAAGTTACTCTCATGAGAAAAGGAACCCAAGATGGGTGGGGATTTTTTAAAAAGGAAATTCTGAAGGCACAAACAATTCCTACCAGGGAAAGGTGTAGAAGGTGACAGAAGAAGCCCGTGCCACTTCACCAAAAGCTTAGAGATACCTGAACACAAAAAAGACACGCAGGGGAAGCGGAAGGAAGGCCAGAGTGCAGGAGAAAAACGCAAGTCGGTAGCACAGAATCACAGGGAAGATGTCCCGGGGGCTAAAGCTAGGAATGAGCTGAGGCAGCTGAGGGATGCCGAAGGCAGGAAGACGCCTTCTTCAGATGTGCCCAGAGTGAAGCTGGAGGAAAGAAGTAGGAGGCTAACTACTCAGTGGGGATAACGTGACAGAGAAAAGGCAGAAGGCTCAGTCTTCCCCCAGAAGAAGATCTATGACCTCGCTGGCAGGGGGAAGAGCACATTCGGGAGCAGGATGGCAGCTCAGGATTGACGGGCAGAGGCTCTAATTGAACGAGGGTTGAATGAGGTCAGATCTCCAGGACCCAAGAAGCTCCATTTTAGAGCCGTAAAGGAGCTTGCAGAAGAACGCTCAGAACCACTGTCTGTCATCTCTTGAGGAATCATGGAGGACAAGGGACGTACCAGACGACTGGAGGAGGGCTAGTGTTATTCTCGTCTTCAAGAAAGGGAAGGAAGAACTGGAGAACTACAGACCAGTCAGTCTGATACCAACCGTTGGGGAAGTTCTGGAGCAGACCACAAAGCAGTCACTCTGTAAACACCTTGAAAACAATGCAGGGATTATTGGGAGTCAGCTGAATTTCTCAAGAACAAACCCTGTCAAACGGATCTCATTTCATGTCCCTGATGGACTCTGGAAACACTGAGACTTATTCTCCCCTGCAGAGGAAGGCAGGATGTGCTCCAACGGAGCAAAGTTCAGGGAACCCAGGTTCCATTTGGATGCCAGGAAGCACTTCCTGACAGTCAGGACCCCGAGGGCGTGGAACGGGCCTCCACAGGAGGTGGCTGAGGCCCCATCGGTGTGGGTGTTCAAGGATAGGCTGGGCGTCCACATGGTGGGCATGTTGTGAGTGGAGCCGGCTGGTGCTGGAAACAGACTAGATGGCCCAGGAGGCCCCTTCTGACTCGCTCTGTTTCTCTGTTTCTATGTTTCTAACACTGGACATAATCTACCTTGGCTTCAGGAAAGCTTCTGACAAAAAGCCCCACAATATCCTGATTAGCAGACAAGCTGAATGTGGGGTAAGTGGGTCCGGTGGAGCCACAGCTGGCTACAGAATCAGACCCAAAGAGTGCTCATCAACGGCACCTTCTCAAACTTGGGGGGGGGGCGCTAACAAGCAGGATACGGCAGGGTCCAGTCCTGGGCCCAGGGCTCTTCGACATTTCTTTTAGTGACTTGGGTGCGGAGATGCAGGGGGTGCTTATCGGAGGTGCAGATGACACGCAACCAGGTGAGATGCCTACTACCCTGGAAGACAGAATCCAGGTGATCGTGACGGGTTGGAGCTCGGGGCTGAAAACAACAAAACGGCGTTCTGCAGGGGCAGATGCCATGTTCTGCGCCCGGCAAACGGAGACCAAGCACATCATTCCTCAATGCTCAACAGTCCTGCAACTGAGAAGGACCCTGGAACTGTGGCTCACAAGCTGAATATGAGTCAATAGTGTGATGTGGCTGCGGGGGGGGGGGGTGGAGCTGCTATTTTCAGGTGCATTAATAGTGCATTAATCATTTTCAAATCCTATGAGGTGCCGTTTACCCGGCACCAGTCTGGTCACATCCTGAGTCTTGCATTCTGCTCTGGGAACCAGGGTTGAAGGAAGACACAGACTAGCGGGAAAGGGTTCAGGGAAAGGAGCGAGGATGGCCCGGGGACTGGAAATTAAGCAATAGGAGGCGAGACTGCAAGAACCGGGCATGTGCAGCCCGGGAAGAGAGGAGCTAGGAGAGCCCCGTGCGCGTCCTTGAAAGGCTGCTGCCCCGCCGCGGGCCGGGATCTCCGCTCGATCGATCGCCCCACAGCGCAGGCAGGACGCAGAATAATGGGCTCGAGTTCCAGGAAGAATCTCTCTTGAGCTGCGCCGGGGGGGGGGGGCAATTCACCCTGGGTGGCTCACAAAGCCGCCCGCCCAGCATGGCCTCTCGCCAAGGCGGGCCACCGAGTCGAGCGTGCCCAGCTGCGCTCCCGAGCGCTGGATCAGAGCGAGAGCTGCACCATCCCTCCAGCCTTGATGCATCCCGCGCCGCCGCCGCCCACTTCCTGTGTCCTTGTGCGCTGTGTCTTCTCACTTGCGAGACTGTCTTTTTCGCTGCTCGTATGCAAGCTGCCGCAAGAGCCCTTTCTATGCTGAAGAGGGACCTACAAACCCCGGGAGAACGGGACAGGCGCCTGCGTGTGCCTGAGCTGCCGGCTGCGGGAAGGCGCTCTCGTAGGAGAAACCCCGCCAGGGCCGAGCGCCTGTGGCGGACTCGCAAGTCCGTCAGACACACGGGACTGCCCGTGGCTCCGCCGCGACGGGCCCGGGGAGGCCACAAGCAGGATGTCCGGCAGACCATGGCAGGCAAGGGAGCAGCACGGGGGACGGTGACCTGCGCCTTCGGGGCCTGCTCCAGCCCTTCTCTGGGGCACTCGAGCTGGCCCGGGACAGAGACCGGCCGTGGGCCGAGGTGGTCCAGCCGGGATGCCCCGTGCTCTGCTCGACTTGCCTCTTGCTCACCCGTTTCTGGGACCCGCGCTCCGCCCTGGTGCCGCCCAAGGAGGAGCCCCTCGCCCAGGAATCGTGGCGGGAAGGGGGCAGGAGGTTCCCCAGACTGTGGATGCAGCCCCTGCAGACCCAGAGAGCCCCGCGCCAGAGGCAGCGCCCGGGACACCTTGGGGCTCTGCAAGGTACACGGAGGAAGGGCTGAGAGACACCCCTGCCTGGGCCTCCCTCCCCGGCCGGAGCGGGCGGCAGAAGGAAGACGGCTC